AATCTCAGAAACGAATTTGCTCGATTCATTGCTTTAACAATAATGCATCTACTTCATTTACTTCCTAAACACGAGAGATGTGAATTTGGAGGATGCATGTTGTCCACGATAACAGAGTAACAATGGTGGATTGCTAAAATGACATGGACCAGACGATTGTGGAGACATGTGGATACATTGTCATTGTCAGTGCCGTGGGTTATCCATTTGTGGTAATGGCTTATGTCTGCTGTGATAGGATATCAGTGGATTTGTTGAATATTTGGCCTATGAGTGAGTGCATGTGTGTGCCGTGTGGGTTTTGCATTGATGGAATAAATTGTGCTCTACAATATATTTATTTTTGAGAATATAGAAAATAGTGATTCAATTACTTCTGCAGTTTGAACTATAGAAACATGTTAAACCTCCCCCCAAAGTAATGTACTCAGTATATATTCAAATCCATGGAATATTATATTTGTTTGGTAGTCCCAGTGCAGCCCTGGAATACAGTCATGTATTTCATGTGTCAATATACAAAAGTTTCAACACATAAATCTCAGTTTTGGCAAGGTATTCGCGTTTTTGATCATGACAATAACACAAAATATCAAAGTGATGATGCAACCTGAAAAGCCTCCAGCTGCACCTTAGAGATAGGGACAAACTGCAGATATTTATGATTAGTGCATGTCATAAAACAAGGCTCTATGCCATTTTTTTCTGGATCACAAAATAATCTTTTCATCATCCGCCAGGACTTCCAAACCTGCATGCAATAAAAAAAATAGATAATCACGTCCTCGGTGTAATCTCATATTTTAATGTTGATAACGCTTTGGAACGGCAGTAATGGATGTTTACATAGAAACGATGTAGGTCATATCTACAGGACATGGATCGCAAGGATTGGATTAGCCCAGCAACCGTGCATTATTAGTCGGTTTTAATCAGATATCGTCAGCGATATTAGGGATGTACCGTTATCACTTTTTTCATAACCGATACGAGTACCTTCATTTGAGAACTTGCCAATACCAAATACCAATACAAGAACTGCATTGTGTTATCCCTGGGAATTCATAAAACTAATACAACTGAAATTCAAAATGTTTTACTTCTCATTTCAACAATAAGAAAATGCTGCAACGATTATACATTTCAGCAATTTTTTTAACAGTAAACAATAAGAGCCACTGTCATATTCTCAAAAAAACTTGTCAACTTGCCGTTAGCCTGCTTGCTGCCGTTAGCCTGCTTGCTGCCGTTAGCCTGCTTGCTGCCGTTAGCCTGCTTGCTGCCGTTAGCCTGCTTGCTGCTAGCCTTCTTGCCGCTAGCTTGCTTTTTCGCTGCCGACTTTTAGAGATCACCATGGCAACACAGCTGTCTGCTGTTGTAACGCTAATGGGAATAAAAAATGTGGGTATCGTTTGCCAGAATCGGGTCCAATGGTACGAGTATAAGCCTATGGTATCGACCCAGTATCATTATCGGTATTGGTGCATCCCTAGGCGATTATATGCTGTGTAAAAATCTGTGTTAACGTCAACAGTGGAGAGATATAGGGAATAAACACACACACGGGAGGCTGGTGTGGTGGATTTAGAGGCAGCGGGGGTCAAATTGTTCTAGTGCGTTACATCACTGGGTCTCTCTATGGGAGATGATTACAGCTGCAGGGAATTTGACTTTCTGCCCGCAACCACAAGTGTTACAGTGGGCTCGACCACTTCGGTAACAAGTGAAAATGAGGTGTGGGTTTTAAAACTAACAGTGAGAATGAGACTTTCAGATCTTGACAATAGATTATGCATTTATTTTCAATGTGTCAAAATCAGTAGTTTCCAACAGTAATATCCTACATAAGAGGCCGCGGAAAATCAAGCATTTGCTCTGATCCACTAAAAAAATTGCTAGTGGATAAAAACACAAAGGGTGGCTTACAAGGAAAAGAAAGTGCAGAAGAAAAATTATCATCATGAAAAAGCCAAAAGACAATGATTGAGCTAAGCACTAAACTCGTTGGGGTATATTTGTTGTCCAGGTGTTAAGACTGCAGGTGCAAAATACAATAGCGTTCAATTTCAGAGTTCTCACCAGGATTTTCACGCAGCCGTAAGGGGAGCCTGGCGAGCGGCGCCGATGCAAGTATTGGAGCACGATAGGGGGGACTCTGACCCTGAACATTTGAAATTTGACGTCTCTTAAACACAATTTCCTGACTTTTAAGATACCGCTTTAGTGAAGTAAATATGCCAGCTCTATCACAACCGTTTTGAAAGTCAAAAAGTAATTTTTTAATTAGTGAAAGGTCATGATAAATGGAGGTTCTCATAAATAAATACTCACTCTATTGACAGAGAAAACGTTTTATTCCAAAGCCTGAACATTCAAATCAAAACTCAGAAGAGTTCTGGAGATGATATTTGAATTGAATAGGGAATTTAGACAAGATTTTATTCTTTGATAAGTGCTATTAGGCCTTAGAAAGTGACTGTCAGTGAGTGGCATCACTCAACAAAGTAAATGTGTTTCTAACAAAGTGGGCAAAGCTTAGCAGAGATGCAGTTTTGCTTAAATTTAACGGGAGACACATGAAGCTCTGCGCTTGGATCCCATTGGTCCGTGGGATCCATGGATCCTGCAGTGAAACAGAGTTCAAGTGTTCACTGGTCGTGCAAACAGTCCAATCGGACGGCTGTACAAACAGATAAAAGAATAATGTGCTGAAGGCTTCTTTCATTTCGAAACAGGTGCAAGAAAAAGGTGTGAACAGCTCTGTGTGATAAGAAGGCACTTTTGATTAGAGGTGAAGAAGTCTTGAAATGACGTTTTTGACATTTTGTCCGATTGATCAGAGCAAGTAAAGCAAAACAACAACAAAATGCTAAGATTTTGTCCTCAGTGCTGGTTTGGGACGGAATGTTTTTACATATAGCATACATGATAAAAAGTGTTGAACACTGCATTTTAGTGCTTTAGTTTCTGCATACATGATAAACAAGTTTGCTCCAATGTTCAGGGCTTTTATAATCATTTACACACATGCAAACTCTTGATAAATAAACCCCATAGTTCTATTTGACAGGTAACCAATTATGCAGACATCCAGTCTCTGTCTGATACTGATCTGGTTTTCTTTGGCCTTCAATATCTGCGGATACCTGATATGAAGGGACTGAAAATAGCCATTTTTCCCATCAAATCCCAGCTAACTTATGCATGACAAAATGAGTCAAAAAGATATTATAAAAATTCAATATAACTAAAATTAGATAAGAAATTATCTACTGATCATGTATGTATTTGCATGTTTTTAATCATTTAACAATACGGTGTTTAAAAACAAATTATTTGATAAAATTGTATCCAAATAGATACTTAAACTGTACTCATCATGAGAGTATAACACAGAAGAAACAAATTGTAAATCACTAATGCTAAATGTTATGGTCCATATCCGACACATTATGCAAATCTACCATATGTTAGCAAGACAACGGCAAAATCTTAGTATACAATCTTATATCAGTATTTTGTGATATAAGACTATAAATATCACTACAACAATTCAACTTGCTAGATCTGCACTACAAACTTCTACAGGTGATTAATTTGACCAAACCGTTAACAGCGACGCTTGTAGAAGGGAAAATCTACCCACAAGCATTTGTATTAGCGGGCGAACATCTCAACAAGCTCAGCTCCAGCCTGAATGTATTTGAAGTAGACTCTAAACGCTCAGCCACAGTCACTGATGCAATAAAACACAGCCCACTGTTTACTTAACCTATATTATTTATAAGGAGCCGTTTGCCTTGGGGAGAGGGCTGGCCAGGCTTGACCCCACAGCACACTCACCTCTATTTCTGAGACTCACCTTGTGCAGATTAGAGCAGGGGCTATGGACTATAGACAATAGAAGTGAGATCAGGCAGACAGCTGAGCCTCATCCATGTCACTTATAACACTCATGAAATGCAAAGAACCACAGACGCTAGAAAGATGGGCTGAATAAAAACTATTATAGCTGTTAAGTCATTTGCTATGCCTGATCAATATTCAGCATTCACTCAACCAGCTTCTGCATAATCGTCAAAAGTGTGCCCTGGAGCCCCATGCCTTCCATCACAACCACTTAATTTAGTAGAAGTAAGTATATGTGATGTTAATGCAACAGCTTTACCATTTAATTAATTATAAATCTTCTTATTGGATGTATTCTATGAAGCAGCAGGGACAGGACAGTGCAATATACCGGACAGGTTAACAACTTGGTGTGTGATATTGTAATATCAGGGCTGCCTGCATGGTTACTCTCTGCTGACAGATCACTTGATATTTCCTCAGTAAAGTTGCAAATAGAAAAATCTGAAGGTGGCATTTTGAAGTGGACCAGAGCCTTATACAAGCTTCACACAGCAACAAAGTATTGCCGTCACTGCTCATTTGCTTTGCACTTGACGTCCACGGGAATTAAGAAAGATCCATCCATTGACAGGTCTAAATCAACAATGATCACGATGCCAATTTCAGCGTTTAGATGTGCCAATTCCCCCCAGGCCATCCAAATAATCATTCAAGAACAGGACTGTATTTTAGACTGTATTTTAGACAATTAAGTCTGGGGTATGTTTGAGGAATCGGTGATGTGGATCCTTGTCAATGGGATGGAAGGGATGGAGAACAGGGACCGACAGCGGGAAGGAAGAAGTGGGACAGTGCTCTTAAATGACTAATCAATAACAGCGCGCAAACTAACAGGGGAAAAAGAGAGGATTGTAATTTCTTAGGAGTGCGTGTTGGCGTGGGTCGGGCTAAAAGCATGCAGATACAGCACCGATATACAGCAAGGCATTTGGGCTTCCTTAATGGAAAAAGCCCACCATATCCCAACTCGCTTTTGCCCTTGCTTTCGGGGGAAAAAATAAAACCCAGTGTGTATGTGTGTATGTGTGTGTGTGTGCATGTTTATGTGTGTGTGTTTATGCATAGGTGAGATCAATTCAAGTACTTACCAGGATGGCAGTCTTTGCATTTAGGCAAGGATAAAATCATTAGGGATACAATCCACCAGTAACTCGGATCCCGTATTCTCCGCATGTTAGACTACTCATGGAGAGCAACAAGAAAGAAGGCAGCGGGTGACAAAGTTTCCAGAGTCTGTTCTCTCTTTTTTTTTCCTTTCACGAAATCACGTACATACAGACGCAGCCGAGAGAGGGATTCAAGTTGACACGGCGAGCTCCGAAGCATCAAAGTCCTCTCTCCAAGGGTTGCGCACGCCAAGCTACTACGCTCTGTGCTTTATAATGGCCTTAATATATTCTCCTCCGAGTCCAAACACTGCTGCTTTTTCGTCTGGGAGCAGAAAGACGCTACGCACACACTGCCGCGACTGTGCAAAAACTGTTGGAAATGATCTGCTGGACTCCTCCGTGCCTGTAGAGGGCTTCCAGATAGCGACATACCCGAAGTGAAAGGGTCAATCGGCGATCAATCCTCTGTCGTTAACTACGCACAAAGTGATCGAACAGTATCGATTGCACGTGCTCATTATGGAGTGATTATCCGAGCAGGCGTCAGCGTGGCGAAGGGCGAAAAAAGACGCACGCAGGGACCGAGATCAGCGCAGGCAGTAAGAGAGAGAGAGAGGGAGAGCAAAAACTGGAGGGCTGGAGGTTTTTTTTGTTTTTTTCGTGTTTTTTTTCAGGAGAGTCCCGTTTCTCGTTTCTCCATCCAGGAAGTAGGCTGTGGTGTGTAGCGGTCAGGCATGCACGAGTGTGGCGACTGGACAGGGGCTGGCTGTGCGTGAAGAGGGAGGGAGAGGGAGGGAGAGAGAGGGAGGTGGGGAGGAGATAGGGGAAAGGGAGGAGAGGGAGGCGCGTCTTGTGGAGCTGTTGAATGCAAAATGACTGGGAACCGACCCAGAGGCTGATCCGGGCTGTTGCTGCTGCTGCTGCTGCTGCTGCTGCTGCTGCTGCTGTCGGGATGACAAGGAGGATCAATGGCGTATGTCAAACTGTCAGTCATCTTGTGTCCGCTTTGGATCTAGACTATTGCGTAAAATGTGGCGTAAGGGTTGGATAATAAAGTCAGAGTGGTCCCTGGGCTCTTGTGTGTGGTATACAGGCTATAGCATCATTTTGACATCCTGCAAAAGTATGTGTGTGGTTGTTGAAAAGTTTGAGAAAATCAACTTGTAAAAATATAACGATTGATATTGAAGCATTTACAGCTTGCTTAGAAGCATAGAAGCTACTTATTTTGTACATTTGTGTGCTCCCTGTGTGCTCTGCTGAGCCTGTAAATGTCATTCATCTGTAAATAAGGAATTACTGCAATCATGTGCAATGTGCAATACTGCAACTTCATAATGTCCACTGAACAATGTCACTACTTTATCTACTTATTATCCTGCCATATGTACAGTATATAACTCAGCACTACAAGTCTCTATATAATAGTTGAGTAGAGACTGGTATTGAAGCAGCTAAGACATATAGCTAGTAGTTATTTTGTATATTTTGTGTGCTCTTACTACTGTCCCTATGTGCGCTGCATATACAGGACAGTATGCAGCAATGACAATTAAGCTGGGGCCCCGATCTAGTGTGAAGAGGGTTGGCTTTCAGTGGCCTATTGATTTTATACTCTACTTGTAATTATGGAAGTTTAGCTCTCTTTTTAGAAAATTAGTATTCAAAAGAGTATAAAGAGAATATCCTACTCCTGTCTGAGTCTATATGACAACAGCTTATACGTCCTTTGAACAACAAGAAGGAAAGAAGACATTTTTTGCAATCTTCTTGAAAGTGTCACTGAATTGATAATGTCTTCAGGGGAGTTGTGGTTCCAGAGAGTGGCATGGGAACAATGGGAAGGCATGCAGGGAAAACATGCAAACGTTGCACAGAAAAGGCCTGCACAGTCCTGGAGGGTTTCTCTCTGTGAGCTGAGAGCCACCAGTCTCTCTTCTCTGAGGGAGCGACTGAGTTTCAAAGAGAGGTAAAACAATATTCTTCCATGCTTCCACTTGCTTGGGGATAACCCATAGACTGTACACTTTAACGAATGTGGTCACGCCTATCTTTGTCGTTGAAACTAATGTGCCACCACTTTCACACATCGGTTTGGACATTTGAGCCGGGACCCGCCCCCACTGGGATAGCCTGATGCCACCAATCCCTCATAAGCTAAGCAGCTTATGACAGTTAGTACTGTGATGGGAGACCTCTATGAAAGCCACGAGTGGCTTGAAAGAGCTGAACTGCTGTTGTGTCCTTTGGCAAGACAGTTCAAACACTATGTGTTTGCCAAGTCTGGTGTGTGAGTGAATGATTGGTCTGTGGTTGGACGTTGGAGGGGCTAATGGCACAGATTAACATCATTGCTTCTATCAGTCTGTCCCAGGGCAGTTGTGGCTTCAGTGGTAGTTTACCACCAAGGTGTATGTGAATGAGTGATCTTTGAAGGTCAGGAAAAGTGCTATACTGTAAGTTTGCATTGTTATATGCATTCATGTGTCTTTATTTTTATTTTTCATTGAGGGGGCTAATGCTCTTTTGTGCCTCTCCACTTGGTACATGTAGTGTACCATTAACATTTCAAGGCTACATAACGCCAAACAGGTATCGATGTGAAAAATGTATTTATTGACCTTTATTTAACCTGGAAATTCCCATCGAGAGTACAGACTTTTCTGTTTCCAGGGGAGTCCTGGGTCCAGAGGGCTAGGGCCCATTGTGCAATAGGTGTAAAAGGTTCTACAGTGACCCCCTTTAGATGGAGACGCTGGAGAGACGCTGTGGAGGCGCTGAGAAGCATTTGCAAAAACAACCAGGCTTCGTACACGACTACGTCTACACAACAACAGAAAACAATGTAGTTCTGGCACCCGGCCATTAGGGGGCAGTGGACACCGAAACTACAGCTTTGGGTGATTTCGTTTGGACGGACAAACAAGTTGAATTTCTCCTCTGTAACGCTCAAAGAACCCATATATTAGTTGTTCTGCCGGAAATTTTTGTTTACGTTTGTTCTCGGCTATTGTGCATGTCCAAATTTACGCCGGGGAAGTGGTGAGGTCATTGCAGACATAGAGTTCACACCTTTTTCTTCACACTGCTGTGATACAGCACCCGCAGCGTATCTGTTCTGTTCCACTCTGGAGGCTGTTTCTCAACGATAGCGTTTTCTCTCCCTTTTCACTCCACTCATCCTTGTGTAAACGGCCTCTAACTCAACTACAACTTTTGCCTGTTTTGTTGTGATTTTACAACCACAAACATTAAGTTCAAAGATAGATGGAACATGGAAGACAACTGGTTCTACAACATGAGTTAAACTTTGGGGAACCCCTTTTTGCAGCAATCACAGCAACAAGTCTGTCCTATTCGCACAGGATTAGTATTAGCTGTGGACCTCTGGTGATTTGTGATAATCGCGGAGGAGCCCTGAGATCTTAGTCAGGTGCGAATGCGCCATGTCTGTAATTTGTAAAGTAATAATTCTTCCGTAAATTACCTCTTGTATTTGGCCGAACACAGACATCCGGTGATAATACTAATCCCGTGCGAATCTGCATGTCTGTGATTGCTATTTCCACCTTCTCTACTTTCTGCGTTGTTTTTTGTCAATATCTTGCGTCTTTTCGTATCTCTTCCTGGCTCAAACCATGGAGGCTGTGGTAGAAATGTTGATTTGCAGTTTTGAAGCTTTGAAGCAGCAAACTATAATATTAATAGTTACTTAATGTACGAATAGGTACACCTACGAATAGGTGCGTAGTCCCTTAGGACTTCGCTAGTGGGATATCACTCGTGACCCCCAGGTCACGCGCCAGAGAGATCAAAATAATTTGCTCCAATCACCAGCCACCTTCCTCTATAAATGCCCCTGCACAAGGCCGAACCCCCTCTTGAACTCTGCCAAGCCGGGCTGGCCTGATGGGCTCGTAGCTAAGGGACTACGCACCTATTCGTAGAACTTAAGTTACATTAAGTAACTATTAATTCTACGTCATGGTGCTACGTCCCTTAGGACTTCGCTAGTGGGACACAACGCGGAGGCCGTAGGAAAATGTACTCCCACCAGGCCAGCGAAAGGTGATTGGAGCTCCACCCGAGCAAGACCCTCACAACGTGAGAGGGCTCAGGGCAGAAGAAACAAGCGTGTTACGGGGCCACTCCTACCAAGGATACCCCCACGTAACACAAGCCATAGGTCATCCGTAGTCACAGGACGCCTCTCCCAAGAGCTCCTGACGTGGACTACCAGACCTACCAAACACACAAAAATGTACCGCACCTGTAGGATGCCTCTCCCAAGAGCTCCTGCACCAGGGCGGAACAGACCGAAGGCCCCCTCAGGGGAGGGACCCAACGGTCTAACTCAGACCGCTGCACTCAGCACGGAATGGGCCACCGACCGGTCCGACACATCCGAAAGATAAGACCGGACGAAAGAGGAAGACGACGCCCACGAAGCCGCACGGCAGACGTCCTCGACCGACGCCCCCCTGAGAAGGGCCGTAGAGGCCGCCATCCCACGCGTGGAATGCGACCTGAAACCCACCGGGGGGGCCAGACCCTGCGTCTGATACGCCCGCCGCACAGCCGTGGCGACCCAATGCGCCAGCCGCTGAGCCGACAGCGGGGCGCCCCTGTTCTTGGGGCCCAGACACACAAACAGCTGATCACCTGACCTGAATGACAACGTCATGGTCAGGTAATGCCTCAGCATTCTGACCGGACACAGAAGGTGCTGCCGCTCCTCCTCGGGGGAGGCATGCGGCGGCGGATGAAAAGCCCTAATCCTGATGACCCTCGATCTAAAGGCCGACGTGATGACCTTGGGGAGAAAGGCCGGATTGGGCCACAATTCCACCATGCCGTCGTCCTCTCCAAAGGACAGGCAAGACGCATGGACAGAGAGCGCACACAAATCGCCCGCCCTCTTAGCAGACGCCAACGCCAGCAAGAGGGCCGTCTTAAAAGCGATACACTCGGGACTCGCCTCCGCCGCCGGTTCAAAAGGCGGACCCGACAGCCCCCTAAGGACCACCCTGAGGTCCCAAATCGGGGGCGTTCTCTGGATGGGGG